TCCCAGTAAAATTTAAAGAAAGAAGCTGTAGAACCATAAATTCCGGGGGATTTATTAGATCCTGGCTGAAAAACTGCAGTGTAGAACTCAGATTGAGTGAATTCCGCCTCAAAAAAGGTTTTATCATCCTCATTTATTACCTGATTCGGTTCAGCATAAGGCCAATCCAGAAAATTGCAATGCCGAAGTTTCCATTTGTCTTCAAAGTATTTTAAAAAGATTTTCTCAATTTCTTCAATATCTTCCACCAACTTGTTATTGTCATCTTTAATTTGTCTAATTAGATTACCATTTCTTTTGGCTGTAGCATGGGCATGAAAAAGCCGAGTATTAGAATCTCCCTCTTCATTCCAGGTTGTCTTGGCTCTTTGATTCCACCAAGTAGATATTCTAAGTAAAGTGACGTTAAGCTCACACACCTTACTTCTCAAAAGAGCAAGATTGTCTGAACTTAGACCACCTTCCTCCTCTTCTTGTTGTTGCAGGCTAAGAATGTCACTTTTTAATTCTTCTTTTAATTGGTTCAAGTTTTTGCATGTGTTCTTATTCCAGAAGAAGAGAGCTTTCAAGGATCTCTTAATCTTTCTATTAAGGATATCAGCTTCATCCCCATAATCATTCTTACCCCAAGCCTTTGCAACAATATTTTTTGTGACTGGATAAGATTTCCAGGTGTCTTCAAATCTGAAAAATTTGGTTGAATCCCGTGTCGAATTATCAATATAAAATCAATGGGGCAGTGATCTAAAGAGATCCTGGCAAGATGCCGAATGGAAGTAGACGGGACAAGCTGAAGAGCACAGGAATTCAGCAAACAACGGTCTAAGCGTTCCCAAATCCTGGCAGCCCCTTGCTTATTATTACACCATGTAAATTTAGGACCAATCACACCAAGATCATGAAGATCATGCTTGGCCATGAAGAACTTCATCTCCTTAGTTCAATTAGACATATAGAAACGTTTACCTCCTCTTTTATCTTCTTTAGAAAGAAGACAATTAAAATCACCACCTACTAAGGTAGGAGTATCTTCAGACATAAAATCTTCCAAACAGCTCCAAAGCACCCTTCTGCCTTGATAATTTTTATGTCCATATACCAT